CCTGCAGATTCACCGTGTCTCCAGCAAGAGGAAGCGGGTAGAAGGACACAGGACAGGATGCTCCCTGGAGTGGGAGAAGAAGGGATTGATAAGAGGAGAATCGGGACTAGACACTAAGATGGACATTGGCACAGTGCTCCTATTCACCAACAAGACAGTGCCTTGGGGCATCTCCATAAAACCCAAGGATCCACGGAAAGAAAATGACCATTCTCTCTGTACAATGTAAGATTCTAATTAAATGCATTATTGTTGTGTCTGACTCTGCTGTGCCTGTCGCTCATCCATGCGATAATGATTCAAAAGCAATTGGCTCTAAGAGCCAAGTTAGCACAGTGCRTTTCTAGATAAAGGACACATGACTGTCACCAGACAACTGCACGGTGGCTTCACTACCAGGGCCGGGCAGGGAAGGAAAATGCAGGGCAGGAGGGCAGACAGGGTGGTGGAGTGGACCAACAGGCACCAGCCTCCTTCACGCCAGATTCCTCATGAATGTCAAGGACACTTCAGATTGCAAAGCAGTGTGGGACCAGGAGGGGCGTCTCCCTGGGAAAGACGTTTAGTCAGATTGCAAGGTGAGAGCCAAAGAAAGCTGGAGCAAAGGGATAATGGGGAGCCCAGGGTGCCCCCGMGTTCCTGAGGAGGGGCTGCGAGAGYRGGTGGGRGTGCCCAGTGCCACCTCCAGCRGKCRCTGTGGGGACTATCCCCTGCAGGACAGCCAGCTCCTGACCTTTATTCCAGAGTGGCCTCTGCCAGTTGAAGCCCCAAGCAGCCCTCTGATCCCATCTGTGCTGAACGAACAGAGTCAGGCACCAGGGGCGAGGAAGTCCTGCGCATGAAAGAGAAAGGGCAAGAGACAAGGGAGCCGTGACTCCAGAAGAGACAGAGACAAGGTGACCGGAGAGAAATGGGTAGGAAGAAGCCCCCAAATTACAATCTCAAAGTCATTGGAGAGATGTATCATTCACAAGAGCAAAACAGAGTATGGCTGTACCAAGAAATAGAGGTCCACCACCACCAAAGGACGTTGAAGGTTAAGAAGCAACCATCAGACTCGGAATGAACGAAATCAGAGAAGTTGGCCAGCAGGAGACAGACGAGGGAGAGGAGCACCCCTTGTCTTGGGTCACCACTGCTGCCCTGTGTCTTCCTGAGCTCCGCTGCTGGCATCAGATTAGAAGAGAAGGTCAACGGAATGACCACTGCGTGGCACAGGAGGCTTTAGGACACCAAGRTTTGACAGAGGACTCCAAACYCTTGCAGACAGGAAAAAACAAAGCCAAAGGTCACCTACAAAGGAACAAAAGTCCGATGACATACGGGGAACATTAGCTGTCAGGAGGCCATGGAACAACGTGTCCAAAATTCTGTGAAAAGGGAACAGTAGGCTCCAATCTGAAATCCTAACAAAATAACATGTGAAGCCAAGTTAAAGAAGAGATTCCCTCACGCAAGATTCAAAAACACATCTCCCACCTGAATTTTCTGTCCTGAAAAGGTGCCCCACGTTTACTTTATTTTAAAAGGGTAAACTCAGAAAGAAGAAAACTTCCACCTGGCGACCTTGGAGGAGGGAGGGCTCCCGTCACCTCTCTGCTGACCCAGGAGGAGGCAGGAGGAGAGGTCTCCTGGGAGGGAGAGGCCGGGAGGAAAAGGCTGCTGCACGAGAGCAGAGAATCTGGAAGATCTGGAGAACGGGATACAAGTACTAAATGCGAGAAACAAAAAAATGGAAACAGAAACTTCTTCTAGAGGCAGCAATTCTAGTGCTTAGGAGCATGTCYCTGGAGCCAGAGGAGTGATGTAAATTCTAGCCCTGCCATTTACCAGCTGTGTGACCTTGAGCAAGTGACTCAGCCACTCTGGGGTGTTTCTTATCTCTCAAGGGAGATAATAATCATAGGACAAACTCTATAAGATTGTTGTAAGGATTTAAACTAATTAATATTTATAGTACTCCTAGAAAAAAAACGATCACATGGTAAGTACTATATAAGGTTTGTTAAATAAATAAATGACCCTAAAAGCTGTATGAGAATTATGATCATCCAAATAGAAGWAATGGATGGCATGGTAAGTTAACGGGCCTACAAGTAAAGTGATGGTTTCCAAGCGATGGGCTACAGTAGCAGCTGAAGTACAATGTTTTTTGGAGGAGGTCAGGGAGAAGAGCAGGAAGAAAGAAAGGCAAACATAAATGAAGAACACACTGTTGGAATAACTGAGCCCCCAACACCCTAGACAAGAAAGGCAGAGTCTGAACGCACAGCAGGCTGAAACCTGATGGGCATAAATGTCACAGCAGGAGGAAGGGCCCCTCGTGCGTGAGGCTGGAGAACCGGCTGGCCTCCATCAGGCGGGCCTCCGTCAGGCCAAGTCCTGCGGCAACAGGCAAAGGAGACCTGCCAGTCAGCTGGGTGGGAGCAGACAATGTGGTTGTCACTGTGAGCCAGCATTTCCTAGGTGATCTTACAGAAGTCAAACAACAAGTCACCTGGATAAAAATTTTCAAAAATTAATCTAAATCCTCCCCCTACAAAATGCACAAGAAAATTAAAATTCAGGCCCAAGTCCTTGTCTCAACTCGAAAGATAACAAAAGATAAAATAAATGGGCAAAATCTGGTTTCACGTAACGGTCCAGGAAAACCTGGGAATTGCTGCTGCTTTCAGTGTTGCAGATTGAACCACCATGTTTCTCTGCCTGTGAACATGCCGTGGCTCAGCCTGTGTCCTCCAGAGGACGGGAATCTGTTGGGAGGGACTAGTCAGGTGGTTGCTGGAGAGTGTGTATGTCTTGGGATTTCTGCGAACCCCAGGTTTCAAACTGACCCAAGTCTCCGAGGTCACCTTCCCCGAAACATTCCTCAGGCTCATGAAGGAGTCKTCACAGGTCTCTCTGCACCAAGCAGCTCCCCTGAACCTCAACGACAGCACGTGTCACCTGGCACCCCCGCGCACCCTGCCTCCTCCACAGCGAGCCGTTGGAAGAGAGCCACCATGACCCAGTCTGCACTGTGTCCCTGATGCCTGGCAAGTGACACCAAAACCAGGAAGGGAGACGAGAGAGAGACTTGGAGTCTTCCTTTCTTTCTKGGTGGACTTCCCCTTCCTCTTGGCTTTCTTGACACCAGACATTTTCAGAATTCATGGACCTACCTTCTGAAGACGACGGAGAACAACAGGAGCAATCAAACGCTGGGCCAGAAAAAGCACGTGGCACGCCCTCCCTGGGTGACAGCATGGCTCTGAAGCTCAGTATTCACAGACCAGGCCTTGCCCCAGCCCCAGACTGGCCACCTCTGGCCACCTGCACACGGATGGTCCTGAAGGACTCCAAACACAACCAGGCCACTAGCAAGTTCCTGGCTGGTCTCCCCACCTCTCGMAGTCTGCAGCTCTGACATGACATTGCTTGTCAAGGTCCCCCTACCCCATTATCTGCAGGATAAGTCCAAGGTCCTTAGAAAAGCACATGAGGCTCCTGGTCATTGGCGCCCTCCTCCTCCTCCCTGACTTCATCTCCCCTGCTCCCCTCTCCAATCATGGGCCCAGCTCCCAGACGCACCTTGCTGTTCCTTACCTCTGTGCTTTGCCAACGGTCAGGGCTCTTCCGAGACTCCGGGAAGGCCTGCCTTCATCAATAGGCCTTTCCCTGAAAACCGCTTCTAACCCTCCCCACCCACGCCGGGTTACCCAGGTCGCTCGGTCCTACTGCTACAGCTTGGGGTAAAGCACTGTAGGATGATGACTGAATGGATGCCTCCTGCACCCGGGAGCTGAGCTCTGAGAGGGCACACAGTGCAGGTGGCAGACTCCTAATCCAACTCCCCAGTCATGGATGGTGAAGATGCCCCCTGCCCCCTGCCTCCTGTCTTGCAGGGACAACCTCAGCAGAGGCCGCAGTAGCAGAGGCCCCTGGGCTGCCTCTCCCACACACTGCAGCCATCGTCCTGCACAGGGCCAGTGGTGGCCTGGAAACCTGGTGGTAGTGCCTTCAGCACCAGGGTCTGGAGAACAGGGACTTCACCATGGAAAGCTGCTTGGGGCAGCCCCCGTGCCCGCCAGGCCTACAYGCCCACCCAGAGGACGACAGGTCACTTACTGGAACTTCCTGCCCTTCTCCTCCCAAAGGGTGGCCCTCACTCCAACTGCCACTAACCGCCCGCAGGCCAGGATTCCAGGTCTCCCATTGGACCCCATCCCTGTCCCTCTGGAACAGAACTCCAGCTCCTGGCAGAGTCCCCTGGCCTGGCTTARTTCATTTAACTAGAGCCTCTGGGCCCATCTCGCTCTGGTGGTCACCACACTAGGCCTCAGGTTCCTCTGAAAATCCTTAGTCTACACCATGTTTTCATAAGTTCCTCTCTAGCCTGTGAGTGAGCTTCCCCAGGGAAGAGGCCTAGTGCCACCTTGTTCTGTATCCACAGGTTTGGGAGAGGCCACAGGAAGGACGCATAGGCCCTTGGGCTTTTCCACTTCTTTGCTGGATGCTCCAACAGCCTCCCTACCCCCTCTGTGATGTAGGTTTCAGACCATGGGCCCAGCACACTGTGCAATGCTACTGAAGCCTGAAGCCCAGCTCCTGGGCAAGGGCCTCTAAGAAGAGAACAAGAGGAAGAAGCAGCACTTGGAGATGGACCTTGACGGGCTCAGGAATAGCTGCTGGGCTCTTGTTAGACACGAGCAACCAGTCCAAGGGCACTAGAGAGCCACTGAGTGCTTTTTAATCAGGGAGGTGACAAAATCACATCTGGGAATGGCAGGGTACAGACCACAAGAAGCAGAGACTAGAACCAGCCCAGGTGTTTGTGGCTACATGGGGAGTTGACGAAACCTGGAGAAAGTGCTCGGAGCAACTTGGAAAGCGTGGGTTGAAGGGCGCCATCTTGCTTTGGAGGCTGCAGAGATCCACAGCAGAAATGCACCGAGACCAGGGGTAGCTGATTGATGTTGAAATGTGAAAGCATAATGATATTCTATAGCAATCGCACTCACATTAATGTTTGAAGGCCACACATTTCGAATCCATCCAGGGTCTCTCATTATTGGAATCTAGAAAACAAAAACATCAGAAGTTAGTTAGTGCTACGTGTGTATTGAATCATCCCATGGTACCCCTATTCATATCTACACTTCTTTTTTTTTCTTTTGTGGGCTAAAAAAATGAATTTAATGAATAATAAAGAGGATTTTTAAAGTAAATTTATGGGAATGCTCTGGAATTAATAGCAGGGGTTAAATAGAATAAAACCACTCAGCTGTGCCCTTTAACATGGTGAATTTTATGGTAATTGAATTATGTCTCAATTTTCAAAAAGAAATCAGYAGTAAGGATGTGGTGGCTTTTCTTTGCACACATTCAGAGTGTGRAGCCTTGGTTGCACAGGGCAGGTGACAAGGTTCAAACTCACTTCATCTCTCCTCCTCCCTCCTGTCATCCTTCTTAGAGGACACAGGGCCCCTTGGTGACTCCACAGGAGGCTGGGAGGCATGGAATGATGGGACTGGAGGTCGGAATGTGGGCACAAGGTTAAGGGGCGAAGCCTGGCCGTGGATCAGCTCGAGGACTCCTGCTGTCCCTTCCCACATCCAGTCCAGTTAGCTCTGCCCAGAGGGTTGCCCTGTGTGGACTTAGCCGACCCTTTCTCAGGGACCAGTTGTGCCTTAGGCCTTAAATTATGCTCAGAACACACCTGCTTGGAGCGCCACTGAAGCATCCCAGAATCGGGGGGCCCCAGGGCCCACTTACTGCCCCCTCTGACTGCCTCACTTATCCAGCCCACAGCTGCTGGCCGACTGATGGCCAAGGGGGCGTGAGATGAGTGGCTGAGTGGCTCTGGGGCCCACGAGCTTTGCTGAGCCCTGGCAGCTCAGAGGGAATGAGGTGGGAATCTCCTGCAGGAGTCACTCACGATCTGCACATCAGCAGGAAGACAGTGAAAGAGCTGGTCATGGCCAGAGCCCCCTCCAGATATGCCCTAGGGATTGCAGGACGGAGGGGCAGCCATTCCTCTGTCTGCAGGGACACATGATGTCAGTGCCACCTGCAGAAGGTGCCTTCTAAGCTGCTTAAGTTTGACTTGGGAGGAGAGGAAGGGTGAGGGGGTTCCAAGCAGGGCAGAGAAAAGGGGCACCGAACGTGAGCCAGGCAGCAAGGGGGCCGGTGTCTGGAGGAAAGCRCAGCATGTGTGGGTGGACACCAAGGGGCCTGGGAGGGGACAGAAGGTACCTCAAGGCCGAGGCCCGTGWGCCCCATGAGGAGCTCAGGCCTTATATCAATCTTTAAGAACGTCCTCCTCGAAGGAGGCCCTCTGCAGGAGCCATTGTGTAAACAGACCAAAGGGGAACTGCTGGGTCCCTTCAGGGAAGGGCCTGGAGTTCCCCATCTTGGTGACAGAGGCATGGGGACTCACCGAGCAGGGTCAAGGTCACAGAGCAGGGTCAAGGGCACTTGCTGCATACAACAGGGAGACACAGAGGAAYGGGGGGATGACCTGGTGTGCATCCCACAAGGAGCACGCTGGCTGCTCGGTGGAGGCTGTGCTGGAGGCCAAGAGGCCATTCAGAAGGTTATTCCAGCAAAAGATGGCCATCGCCAGGCCCAGGGCTGAGCTGGGACAGAGAGGAAGGGCAGCTCTGAATACCCCATTTGGACGTGGCAAACAATTTGGAGAGGTGGGTGAAGAACAGGGAGACTTTAAGGATGACTCAGGCGACCACCTAGACAATAGCATCATCAACTAAGAGAGGAGAATAGGAATATGGGGGACGGGGGTCCTCCTGGAACCACATCAAAATAAAGAGGTGGACTTCCCTAGGAGGCAGATCCTGAGAAAGAAGGCAGATGTGTTCCAGGATCCCACCCACTTCTGTACCCTTGAGGGAAAGCAGGACAAAGGAACTGGTTTCTTCATCTGTAAATTCCTTGACAGGGCAGTGAAGTCGTGGTTTCAACCAAACAGTGGATTGGAAGCACTTTTTGGAATCCAGATGCCATTTCCCTTTCAGCTCTGTGGAATGTTCCGGCCTGCTGCAAGAAGGCATGCGACTTGGACACAGATGTCCTGGACCATCCGACTCAAATTCTTCAAGGGCCACAAAGTCACAAGCACCCCAGCATTCAGTGTGGACAATGGTTRGATTGACTTGGCACTCACGAGGCAGACTGGGAAGGCTGCCCGCAGCTTACGCTCACATTGCTTGAATTGGGTCCCGATTTTAAATGAAATTTCARATCAAATACCAAAATACACGCTTTTACTGACAGGGGAGTAATGTCTTTGCACCCCCRAGGCTTTGGTCTGATTTCAGAGGTTAAGTCCAAGCACAAGAACACCAAGCGTGATGACACTTTATCTTTCCACAATCATTTTTTCAAAGTTGAGAAGAAAGCGACCTCATTCCACCCCACAACTATTTTATTTTTTTTTTTTTTGTCATTTGAAATTCTTGCACAAAACTGCTTGGTGCCTGGGGCCAAAAGTGGCCCCAGGCACCAAGCAGTGAGTGGTCCTGGCAGGAAGCGGGAATGGACCTGGGTTTGAACCCTGGTTCTGACTAAGAGATGCGTGGCCTCTCCAAGCCTCTACCTTCTCCTCTGTAAGGAGAGGATGGAGACAAAGTAGTAGACAAAGTAGGCTCAAGGTCAGCATGAGCTATGTAGACTGTGTGTGTGTGTGTGTGTGTGTGTGTGTGAGTGTTGGACTAAAGATGGTCTCAAGTTCTCTGTGACTCCTCCCACTGATGAGCTCCCCTTGAATCTCGGCAAGCCAGAGGGACTTGCTTTATTAATAACATGCAGGACAGGTGGACGCTCCCTCCTGAGGTCACAGGAGCCTTACAGCACCCTCCTCTGCCTCTTGCAATGCTCTTTCTGGGGACACCAGCCACCAGCTGAGAGAACCAAGTCCCTGGAGATGCCACCCCTAAGTGGCTTCGAGCAGACTCCTGCCAGCAGTCCCGACTGAGCCCTGCCTTCCTGCCAGCCCCAGGTAGGCACTAGACATGTGAGGGGAGCTGTCCTTGTCTTTCCTGATGAGCCCACTGACCAGGCAGTACCCTGGGTCACCTCAGTGAACACCCTGAGCTGCAGGAGATGCCCAGCTGAGCCCAGCCTGAATTCTTGACCCATAAAATCACCAGCTCTGATAACATAGTTGTTGTTTTGAGCCACTAAGTTTCGAAGCGGTTTGTCCCAGAGGAGTAAGTAGCCAGAACGGGGTGTTGGGGTGGTGAGGTGAGACTGGATTGGCATTTCTGTGTACCTGGCTGTGCTGGGGCAGAGTGACCGTGTCTGACTGTGCAGGGCTGAATGTGTTTGCCTGGAGGACAGCGTGTGCCTCTGTGTGTGTCTTGACACGTGTCTGAATGTGTGTATTTATGGCAAAGTGACACTCTCCTGTATGAAATCACATCACCTAGCTTGCGCACCTCCTCACCTATGAATGCAGAGTGCCCTCGCAGGCCCTGGGGGCACACGCCAGGTGCATGTCTCTACAAGGACAGGCGTGATTAGACCTAGGGTTCTGAGGCCAGCTACCCACGGGTTCCTTGGGCTCCCTGAAGCACTGGCCTCCAGGAGCAAAGACTGTTCACTACAAGCCTGGGAGTGCCAGGCCAGAGCCACCTTTGCTCCAGTTGCCCCAGCGGGAGGGAGACATTCCCAGAGGGCTTCTCGAGGGTGGTAGCCAGGGTGACGCAAAACCCCGGTCCACGGAGGGTCAGATAAGTGTGGAGACACGAGGTAAAACAGAGACAAAGGCTTTTCTTGCAGAGCCTCTCCGTGCTCCACTACCTTACTGCGTGCTGTCAACCTCAGAAGGGAGGACAGGCAGCCTCTCCCAACCACCATCCTKAAGCCCTTCCTCACTAAGCAAATGGTGGCATCTGTGCCACTCCGTTAACTCACAGTGGGGCAGAAGGAACGGCGTCATAGCCAAACCTGGGGGTCAGCTGCCCTCACTGCCCCCMGGAGAGCAGACGTTTCAAGGGATTGGGAGACTCAGGGAAGGACCCCATGATGGTTAGGAGGGGAAAGCTCAGAAAACATGGATGCAAACAAAAGCAGATCTTTGAGCCACTGCGAGAAGTGACCCAGAGAGTCAGAGTCCGGGAAATTGAGACCAAGAGATGCAGAGAGCAATAGAGACAGAGAGACWRAGAGAKAGAGAGAGGGAGAAGCAGGCAGGGACAGGAGGACCGAGGCCAGGGTGGCCCTATCCTGCCACAGACTTCTCGTGCAGTCCCATTGCACCAAGTCCCGGGCACCTTCTCGGCTGGGCCCTGCCAACTAAGTCAGCGTTTGTTTGAGTGCCTTGCCAGCTTTACCACGGCCTCTCACTCTCTGCATTTTGATGTGCTGATACCCGGGCCCTGAACCTGGAAACACTGCTCCCAGGRCTGGTCCTTGTCCTCAAGCAAATCTTCCATGTGCAAACCAACCCACCTGGAGCCAGCCCCAAACGTCTCCTCTCTGGGGACTCCCACTCTGGTGGCATCCATGGGCCCTACTCCGCCCAGGCCAGGTATCTCACAGCCAGGGACAGCCCCTGTGCCCCAGCCTGCTGGCATTACTCAGCCAAGCCTGTGGCCCCTGTCTTGGCCMCGTTTCCCCCCACAAGCCACAGTAACGGCTGCTGTTCGCCTATTTCCCTCCCTCTCTCTGCCTCCTGGCCAACCTCCGTGCTTCCCCGTGGGCCCTGCATGGCGTACCATGCCCCCTCTTTCTAGGGCTTCACAGACTTTCTGCTTCATTATGGCCATTTCTACATCTGTGATTCTTACCACACCCCATRAAAGAAAATCCCTAGGACCTTAGGACCCTTGGCATCCTGAGGCCACAAGACCAGAAGCCAGAGCTCAGCACAGACAACMAAGATAGCATGACATGTTTAAAACCAGGGGATGGTACAAAACCGTTCCGGAAGTCTTGGCAGGGACAGTGGCCAAGCCAAACTCACATGCACCATGTGGAAAGAACTCTGCCCCAGATACGCCAGCAAGCAGTACCAGACTCTGGCATTAGAACAGGGGACACTCTCTGGTCACTCAACAACACTGTGTGGAGTGCCAAACATTGAAAGGACAAAATGAGCCCATGACCTGRCTGTGTGTGGTCAGCAGTTTCTCAGTGTCAACGTGAGGTGGACTCCACCTGAGGAGCTGTGTTCTCACAGAAGTAAAAGCCCCACGTGGGGACAGCAGCTCTCCTGACTTGAGCAACGTCGGTCAGGGTTGGGGAGCTCTGGCCTGTCTCCTCCCGACTCTACCGTCTTTCCTCCCCCCAGGGACTCCATACCCCTCACAACCTGGCTGGCCCTTTTTGAGGTGTGGCTGGACCTGCAGGGCTTTCCAGAGGGCCAGACACCACGGGACCCTTAATTTGCACCTTATAGAGCTAAGGTGAGCAAGAAAGKGTCCCCTGGAAAGGTCTTCACGTGGATTGACTTAACAAAGACACCATTTTGCAGGTAAATGAGGGTTCAAAAGCACCTGAGGATCTGTTCTGAATTTACAACTGCTACACCTTTCCCCCAAGGCCCAGAGTAGTTTAAAAGAAAAAAGGAAAAGTAAGAACTCTCCCTAACTAACCTCCCGAACTAAGGAGACTAACTAGGGAGGTGAGACGACTARCAGCCACTGGCACAGGGCTGGCCACTCAGAGTAGCAGCTGACACACTCACTCGCACTCTTACGCTCCAYGACAAACCTGTGCACAGCCTGACCTGCCCTAAATTCCCCAGATTCCAGCCGTGGGGCCAGGGACCCAGGTTCACTCTGTTTGGGACCCACGTCCCAAGAACGCGGGGCACTTCCCGGCACAGGAGGGAGGAAGGGCTGAGTGGTCTCAGCGTGGCCGCTCAGCAGCAGCCAGGGAAAAGCCCAGCATTAACGACCTGGCCCTGATCCATCCGCTCAAAAGCAGCGAGTTTCTCTCTGTGGAAACAGCAACCAGAACATGAAGAAATCGCTCTTTCGGGCAGCGCCAGGCCGCGTGATGCTGTTCTGACTGCTGCTCTGACATTTCTCAGAAGAGGCGGGTGCAGGGGAGCCAGTCACAGTGGCGGACCCTGGCAGGCRGCAGGAGTGGGGTGGGGAGGGGGTAATAATGAACTTGGAGAAAGCCCCTTGACCTCAGTACATCCAGTCCCTTCTACAAAAGCAACYGGCTTCCTGAGATGGCAGCAGCGACGCTGTCAGGCCCGAGGCCGCCGGCAGCCAGCTGGTCCCCAGCCAGGGCAAGGCTGACTGACAGCAGGCAAAAGGCCACAGCCTCACCAGGACCTGCCAGCTCAGGACCTGGGGACAGGCCACAGAGCCAGGCTGCCTGAGGCTTCAGATGTCACGTCCCAGCAGGCAGGACCCAAGGGGAGGGGAGGCTCTGTGACCACCACGGTCTCCTCCTTCCTGTGGGCAAAGCCAGGTACCTGCTTGGGGCAGATGACACAGGGGCCTGTCCTCTCCTGTCCTTTCTGCACAGCCACTTCTGAGCACATTTGTTTGATTGTGCTATGGCTGTTTCCCTGGCCTGGTGACATGGGGAGGGAGGGAGCTGTCATAGGAGGAAGGCACACCAGGAAGGGGTGTCCGAGAGTATCCCTAGGCTGCTGCCCACACCAGAGAGGCCAACAGGCCAATTCAGTGCACTTCAGGTTTTCAGGGCTGCAAAGCCAGCCTCCCAAGCACTTCTCCACTCAATCCTGCCTGTGAAGAGTGTCCTTTCCCTGTCCCAGGCCAGGTCACTACCAACGGCACAAGTAAAGGACTGGCAGGTCAGCACCGTTCAGCAGACACGGAGCGCCCAGTGCTGGGAGCAGGGGCGACTTCCTAAGTCTGATGAGCAGGCCAAGTGCACTCCCTGACGTCAGTGCACCCACAGGGGAGGCCGGAGCCATGCCCACTCCTGGTTAAGCCCATGATGGGGGCCTGAGGGCTCTTTCCCACTCCCCCTGTGTTGGGCCACAGGCTACCAGGAGCTGCTGCTCCACCTTAGAGGCAGAAAGGCAAAGGATGCCCCCAACACAGGAGCTGGCAAGGCATGGARGGGTCTGGAATGTGAAGTTCTTTCCAGAAGCAGCCAGAAAGCTGGCTGTGGACACACGTGGACTCCAGTTTCAGGCTGCCTGCAGGAATGACGGCGCCTCTGAAAACCAATGCAGAGAAGCCTGGAGCCCACAGGAAGCAGAGCCTCCTTCCCAAGCTGAGCTGTGTGGCCACTGCCTCTTCTCACTAGATGCTGCTCCATGCATGGGCACTAATTCTTCTCTGGGCCAGAGGCTGGRGACCCAGAGACAGAGCAGAGGTCCTTGAGAGAGCAGCAGAGTGCAGAGWACTGGAAAGGAGGAGGGCAGGCCAAAGGGAGGACACCAGAGCGCAGCTGTGAAGGCGAAGGAAGCTTCAAGRCCAAAAGGGGGAAGAGGTCCACATGGTGGGAAGGGGTCCCCTGCGTGGGCTCTCTCTCATCCAGCAAGGAGGTCCTTGGAACAGGGTAGAGGAGAGTGTAGCTGCGGAGTTGCTAGTCAAGACCTCCAGAGACAAGCAGGAAGCAGGTCTGTTTTTCTGTGCAGTTACCATGTTTATATACTCAGGCAGTAGCTAAGCATTACAGGCAGCCACTAATGCAATTGCTGGCCAAATGTCCCTGCTGCGACCAATCCAGGAGTGGGCCATGGAGCAAGCGCAGGGACTGCAACACGTGGCCTCACGCCCAGGGTTGTGCCTTCGGGGTAAGAAGTTTGCCRCTCACATGCCTAGCACGGGGGAGTGGTTTGCCACTCAAGACACCCTTAACGTATGCCATGTATGCAGTACTCCATGCACTGTCCCCACAGTCCCCAAAGGTGTCAAAGCTCAGAGCAGCTGGGGCCCCATGCAGGGGAGCAGGAGGGAGCCCCATAGGCCACGGCTGGGCCAAAAGGTACTGTGGCGGAAGTGTGGAGCTGGGCTTTGGCTCCTGCTCTGATGACAGCTGCAGGCCAGCCTATGGGTTCAGGAAGCCGCCTGCATCCCCGGCCCTGGGCAGGGCAGAAGCTCAGTGTCTGCTGAACATAATAGTCCTGCAGGCTCCTTGCCAGCCAGTGGACCCCACCAGCTCTGATGGAGACCCCGTCCTGGCCCATCGTAGGCCCCAGAACAATCTTGCTCTAATTCAGGTCCAAATCCAGCAGCTTTTAAAAATATACCATAGGTCACATATACCTATAGCTTAGAGGAGAAGATACGTACACAGCCGTTCTCTTCTTAAAAATGTTCCTGTGGCTGATAGACCACATTTACGATGGTGGTCCACGAAGATTCCACTGCCCATTGACATCACAGCCATCTTAGTTTGCACAAGTATGCTCTACAGTGTTCACAAACAACAGAATTGCTTAACACATTTCTCAGAACATACCCACATCAAAAAGCACCCCAGGGCTGTATATGTACATTGAACAGGAATTTCACATTACCCAGTATTTCACGAGCACCCAGGTCGCCAGCCTGCGCAGGAAGCTGGGGGTTCAGATACGAACTACACCCCATTCTTCCCGGTGGAGCTCATCTGGGAACCAACAACCGTCAGCGCCACGGGATGGCGGAGGCCACTGCAGACCTCAGAGCAAGGGGGAGGGGCTTAAGGACAATAGACCAACTCACTCTTCCACTCTCCTAGTGCTTACTTCTTAGTTTGGACTCTCTTCTGAAAATGCCCCCACCTTCCTCCCATCTCCGCTCTCTACCTCTACAGTGAGAAAAGTGAAGCAAGCAGAAGAAAACGTCCATGGATCTCCCTGACCTGTCTGCGGGCCTCTCTGGGCCGCCTTGCCCTCTGTCCCTGCAGACAGTGCTTCTCTCGGAAGCCAGCCCCTCCCTTGGTGGGCTCCATGGCTGCACTCCAGCAACTCTCCTCTCTCAGCCTTTTGCCAGCTTCTCGTCTCTCCTGGATCAAGCTCATCTATAGCAAAACACAGCCTAACCCTGTTCACTGCATGTTACAAAACCTCCTGTCCCCAGCTCCCCTGTCACCTCTACCCCAATTCCGTTTCCCTTTCCAGCAAGTTCCACAGGGAGTTGTCCTCACTTGTTTCCTCCAACTCATTCTTGTTTCCAGTTCAGTCAGGCCTCTGCTCTCCCCAGCTCCCTGCTCCAGAACTGTCCCTACCAAGGTCACCCGTGGTGTCCAAGTGGCTCACTCCTCATCTCTCTTTTGGTCCATCAACAACATTCGGCACTCCTCACCACTTTCTCTTCTTTGAAATACTTTCTTCACCCGGTTTCCAGGTCCCCAAATTCTCTTGATCTTTCCTTTGACTCAAACGGTGGCTCTCGTTCTTAGCGCACCTCTGGGCTTCAGGGATCAGTCCCGTTTCCTCTTCTTGACCCACATGAACTCCCCGAGTGACCTCAGCCAGTCTCACAACTCTGAATGCCATCCTGGTGCCCATGACTCCCGAGTGTGTCGAGTGTGTTTTGAGCCCAGGTTTTCTCCACACTCCAGGTTCGCCTGCCCAACCGCTTACTCAACGTCTTCATTTCTGAGATCTAGTGGATATCTCAAACTTAGCAAGTCCAAACCTTAAATGACCCTATGGCTCAGGATTCTGCCCACAAACCCCACCTCCTCATCTTGAGTGATGAGACCTCTCCCTTCCAGGAGCTCAGACAAAAATCTTAAAGCATCCGTGAGTTTATCTCCTTCTCTTGCACCCAACATGCAATTCACGAGGAAACCCGGATCAGTGACGCTGTCTTGGGGACATAACCTAAGTCTCACTGCTCACTCCTCCACTGCTCTCAGCCTAGTCCTAGCTGCATTTCCAGTCCTTGTCTTGCCCCTGAAGCTACTTTGCACACCAAAGCCAGAGAGGTCAGAAAATATCATTACTCAGCTGCAACTCTGCAATGGCTCAAGGTAACATCTGGAGTCCTCACAATGGCCTGAAAGCCCTTGGTGCCCTGTTGGCAGGCCCTCACCCTCTGCCTCCAACTCCCCGTGCCTCATCTTGCTCTCTGCCCCAGCCACACTGGTCTCCTGGCTGCTCCTCACATGCTCTACCTTGGGGACTTTGCACTAGTTATTCTTCCACCTGGAACAACTGTCCCTCAATGTCTCCACCCCCTCAAGATGTCATTGCTCAGAGGTCATTGTCTCAGTAAAGCCACCCCTAACCACTGTGGTCCTTGTAACCTGTTTCATTTTTTCCCATTGCCTTTTAAATTCTGGCATGTTACACAATTTACATATGTATCATATTTGTTGCAATTCATGAGGAAATCCCAGGTGGTCCTCTGAACTCAGCAGGACTTTATTTTTTATTTTGCTTTGTCATGGTCAGAGATCCATTCACAGTGTATCCCAAGTTCCCAGCTGAGGAAATGGCATTCATCAACTCTCAAACATTCCCAAGTCATTGAACTGTTACTCTTGGATTCAAGGTGCTTATTTTATGGGCAGGAACATCAAATGAATAAACCCCAAGTTGTCCCTGATGACAGACTATCACTGAAACCCACAGGTGAGGAGAATTGGGCAGTGGCACCCGAAGCACTTCCAATAATATTCTTTATTTCTTGGGAACTCAGGTGTTCATCTGATTATTCTCCATACCTTTATGGGTGTGAAAATTTTCATATATATTTTTAAAATTATAAATATTCAAAAAGTTATCCATGCCTGTTATGTGTTCAGTCCTGTGCTGGGTGTTGGAAAACAGTCAAGGAACAAAGAAAACCATGGCCCTGTCTTCTGAGGGTCTGACAGTGCCCTGTAAGACCACACGGCAAGCTCCAACAAGACTGGAGATGGAGGGAAGATGGGCAGGGCTCACAGGCAAAAAGTGACAGTGCTTTGGTGCCTCAAGAAACTGCAGCAGCTCAGCGGGCCCAGAGATGGCCGTGAATAGAGGGATTGACAGCTTCACAAAGGTCGTGGAGCTGAGCTCAACTCACGGGGAGCACTCTCTGAGAGGTATGCATAAATAATTACCAGTTTGGGTCAAAGCATGGCCCAGTTACAGGAACTCTCAGGGAAGGTCAGTGTGACAGTAACCAAGTGTCTTGACCACATTGCTTAACCTCACCTTGTTCTACACAACCTACAAACCCTTTTCTGTTTCAGGGTTCTATAAGTCTATGCCCAAATGGCTAATTCACCATGCTACGCAGTGGGTATGAAGAAATTGTAAAAACAAAGGACTTTGCCTCCAAGAACTCACAATCTAATATGGAAATCACACATTAGTTCCCCTAATAGACTTCCGAAGGAGGGATGGATAGAGTTGTTGTAATCCCCTTGAAAGATGAGGAAACTGAGCCCCAGGGAAGTACCAAGAATGAAACCATCCCTAGCCCAGGGAGCTCCCATCCTCGGATGGTTCAGATGTAGAAAGGCACTGTGCCAGGCGGCCTCTCCTACCTCAATTTACCTGGGAGTCACTGGGGTCTTGTTAGGGTGCAGATTCTGATTCAGCAGATCTGGGGCAGGGTCCAGAGCCTGCACTGCTAGCTCCTAGGGGGAGGTCTGTGTGGATATACTGGCCTGAGGACCACACATGGAATAGAACAGGGTTCTAGATTCTGGCCAGTGAGGTTGGTGACTGGACCATTGAGAAGAGTGCTGTGATCACATGGATCATTCTAGAATCTCCACATTGGTGTTTCCCAAGCCTGGCTACATTTTCATTCCATAGGAATTGGATCTGGGACTCAAAGACCTAAACATAGAACAGAAAACCAAGTTTTCCAGGTGATTCCAATGCCCAGATCTTCTGTAAAAGAACTGTTAATGGAGTCCTAGGGCAGAGACCCGACTCTGGGGGTCCCAAGGAATCAAGTCTACCCACTCATCCCCAAACCCAAATTGACAAAGTAAAGGTAAAAAGCAGGAAAGGAACTTTTTTTTTTTTTTTTGGTACCAGGGATTTAACTCAGGGGACTCGGCCTCTGAGCCAATCCCCAGCCCTATTTGCATTTTATTTAGAGACAGAATCTCACTGAGTTGCTTAGCATCTCGCTTTTGCTGAGGCTGGCTTTGAACTCACGTTCTTCCTGCCTCAGCCTCCCAAGCCACTGGGATTACATAGGCGTGTGTCACCATTCCCATCCAGGAGGGAACTTTGATCAACTTTGGTCATATTGGGAAGGCAAAGTGAGATCAAGAGTCTCAACCCTGTCTTTCGGACTGACATGAGGTTCAGCTTTAAATGGCAGAAGAACTGGGGCAAGGGGCGAGAGTCATGCATAAATAATTACCAGCCTTGGTCAAAGTGTGGCCCAGTTGACCACCATCTCCGTTCTGGCTGTGCGGGGTGACTCAGGGAGGTCCTTATCACTTGAGGGGCCATCTCCACTTGCTACTCAGGATGTTTATCTATCACACCTGTGTTCCTGGAAGGAGACAGTTAGGTCCCCATAAGACCAATCCTATTTAGGCGGGGAACAGTCTCATCCTGGGGCCAACTACCTGCAAGACTCCGTTGCTCCTAGAAGGTGGGGGACAATGACTGGAGACTTCTAGGCTCCACTCTGGGGGTTGGGAACAGGTTGTTATAAAAGCTGACAGCTGAATTTTCTTGTAATTCTTGAAAATTCTGGGCAACAGCAAGGATACACGAAGAGTCCATGCTTTTAGCGAAAGCAGCTTCTACTTCTCCATTGTGGCCACCCCTGCTGGCCTCTCCGCGGTCCTGGGGACCCAGCTCTCTGCCTTTCCTCTTATTTCTCTTACTCTCTAGCGCCACCTACTGTATCAAATAGGTCACCATGACCTAGAAGCTTCCTCCAATCCACAGGAACAAAAGTCAGAGAAAGCCTCCAGGGTATGATTTGAGGCTTACAGGCAAGATGGGGCCCTGTCCAGAGACTTTCTCCCTAACTTCAGCTGGAGGGCGACAATATGTTCCCAGTACCCCAGGTGCAATGCCAGAACCCTATTTATATCTGTCTCATGGGATTCAGTCAAGGGTGGGATTTGAGTAAAGACTCTCAGGCAAGCATCGCCCTTTTTTCTGACTACTTTAATCAAAGGAAAACACCCACCTTAGAGCAATTGAAATGAGTTTTGTTCTACAGTTTCCTCTGTAACCCAAGCTGGGCAGCCACCCTCCTCACCTGCAGCCCTGTGTGCCTGGGAGGAAGGGCAGCAGAGGTGACCCAGGAGCAGGGCACTTTCTAAGCTCCATGATTAGTTTGCGGAGCACTTGACAAACATGACACCACCACGCCTAAACCCGGCCACTTATCAAAGTCTGCTGAAGGATTCAGTAGCATTAGGTATCATTCCTAGGCCCCGCTCAAATCTAATGAGTACAATTCTCTACACAGGGAACCCAGAAACTTTGCAAAGCTCCCAGGTGACTGGTATTTGGGGACCACTCAGCTACCTTTTTTTCCCCCTCATAGAAGCCCATTTCATAGACTCCACCCTGAAGGCTGGAGTGGCTCTCCAAAGCCACAAGGCCAGGAAGCACCAGAGCCAAAATAAGGAAATGGGGACCAGACTTGGTAATGGTACTTCACGGCAAGTAAACAAATCAGAATCCCCGGTGTGGGGAGTAATCCAGGAGGCCTTTTGCTTTGACCGTGCCAGCGTTTCCTTGAGATAACCAGTATCAGGGTGTGGGCTTGATTCTGAGAGCCGCCCATCAGTCATTGTTAATGTTGGAAAGCAARGCACATTCGCTGTGTATAAGGAAGGGGCAGCCACCAGCATTCACAGGGAACAAGTCTGCTAAAGAGGGCGCTCTCCTTTTTCAAAGAATAGTTGAGAAGTGTCACATGCATACACACAATATGCTGTGGTTCCYGCCAGGCATTTGATGAAATCTTTCACGAGGCCGTAAAGAATAGTTTAGACAACCTAAGCTGGGTAATATGATAACAAGTACAGCGAGTTAAACTGCCTTTCTTGAGGAAGTGGAAATCAGATTAGATATAGCCCTCCAGTGTCACACTGCTGGCTCTATTCTTGCTTCTTCTTAAGGATGTTATCAATGCTGGGTCATGGAAAGCAGGTTTGTGGCTTGCAGTCAAGATGGCGCTGTGAATTCACACTTCTATCACCCCAAACTCATAGTCTACAGACAACACAGAAAATGACCTAGTGAGATTCAAACACAATATGTGGTTTTTGTGAACCAAAGACAGAGTAAACGTGTGAAGAGTTGAATGGACAGGTGTCCCAGGCCAGTGGGCTCTGGTCCTGGGCAGGTGGTAGCCAGAGGTTGGTCCCTGCAGAACACCTGAGATGGGGCACAGGTGAAGCAATTCTGGCAAGGCGTTCCCTCTGCTGGCGAAAAGAGACATAAACACTTCTGTCGTGGGAGGCCRCTGCAGTCTTTCAAGTCAGAACCACGGCCAGGGCTGCCTTGCTCAGAGCCTGCATCGAAAATATCCTCAGTATCACTGTGAAACAGACACCCTGAGTGCCCTTACCGAGTCCAGATCTGGACTGTGCCCTGGGAGCCTGGGAAGGGTGTGTCCCTCAATCACCCAGCCCTGATACGACAAAACAGAGGACAGGGGAGAGGCTAAGGCTATTTATCACCATGCTCTAGCCATTTTGAATAACCAGTAGAGTATGGCTAACCCCAGTCATATTACTGTGCCATGGAACGCCAGAATTTCTTTCTCCAAACTGTACCCATTGACTAACCTTCCTCTCTACCTATCCAGTCTCCAGTAATGCTATAAATATGTACAATCATTGTATGTCAATTAAAATTTTTTAAAATAGGGAGGAAAAAACATCAAATTTAAAGTTTCACTCAAAAGGAGCCCTGAAGCAAAACTCCTTGTACTTGGGAAGTCATCTAATTCTCAAAAGGACAGCAGACAAGATAAGTATGTGGAATATGGATTCACACTAGTCTTCTCAACGAACAACTTGACAATGACTTTTAAATAAGAATAGTTAGGATGCACATAGCTTAAAATAACTTCCATTGTGAAGAAAAATTATAAAACAGAAAGATAACCAAAATTAAACAAAAGCCAGTCACTAGGGAAAAGAACCAACTGGAAATCTTGGAAACAAAAAAATATACTCCTTGAAATTAAAATATAAATCAATATAGCACATAAAACCTATCCAGAAACAGTGAAATAGGGAATTAAATGAATTGAAACACAGCAAAGAAGAATTCAACCAGAATAGTATGTCAAAGAGATAAAGGAAGAAATTAAAA